TGAAACAAGTGAAAAAGATGTGTCAGGTAAGAGAATAGAAGAAGGGGAAGAAGGAAAAATGTAAGGCAAGTGAAGAATAATAATACGAAGAAATGTGAAGCAAGTGAAGAAATGTGAGTGAAGAGAAGAGAAGAAGAAAAAGAAGAAGAAGATGATGATGATGATGAAGAAGTGTGAATCAAGTGAAGAATAATAATAAGAAGAAATGTGAAGCAAGAGAAGAAGAAAAATGTGAGCTAAGAGAAGAGAAGAAGAAGAGGAAGAAGAAGGAGGGGAAGAAGAACCAATGTGAGACAAGAAGAAGAAGAAGAAGAAGAAGAAGAAGAAGAAGAAGAAATAAAAAGCAAGAAGAAGATGAAGTCGAGAGATATTGCTGGAGATTTGAGATAAGAAGCTTTAATTTTCTCTAATGATAACCAACACACATCATGTGTGAACAGAGAAATATATGTCTAATAATAATAATAATAATAATAATAATAATAAAAGCAGTAAGCTCAAAATACCTGAAGAAGATGCAAAAATCAGACGTTGTCTAACTTTCTTAGTTGTCGCGTAAGAACTGTTCCTTTCAAAGACTCTTAAGATTTGGAAATCCAGCAGTGTTTTTGTCTTCGGTGCGAAACAGACACGAATGAAAGAAGTCTTTTAGGAAGTGCCAATGAGAGAAACTAACATGGCGATACTATTTTCCCCAACAATTCTCAATGTTCGAAATATTTGAGCCAGGAACGAAGAGGCGAATAATCTGAATGGCATCTTTTTGTTTCCTGAAAAAAAATTTGTGCGCGGGTTGGTGACTGCGTGAGGAAAAATGGTAGGTGGGTTGCCGATTGGCTCGGGTATTTCTTTTTGGTTTTTCTTCAGAGATTTATGCCTAGTATGTATCGTAGATTTTACAAGTATAAAAAAAAATAAGATATCATTCCAGGCAGCTGAATAAGAAAAAGATAAAGGAATTATGTGACGAAAAGAGAAAAAACTACCGAATATCATAGATTTTGCAAATATTAAGATGGACGGATCACGCACGCACACACACACACACACACACACACACACACACACACACACACACATATATATATATATATATATATATATATATATATATATATATATAACAGTGAAGATTGAAGTCAGCATTCAGAGGCGACTGGCTGAATGCGACTGGCTGAATGTTGACAGTCTGTTTCATGCTAGATGCAACCGTCAGGTCTGACGATTGCATCTAGCATAAACCAGACTGTCGCCTATGTGCTGACTTCTATGTTCACTTTTATATTTACATATATATATATATATATATATATATATATATATATATATGTGTGTGTGTGTGTGTGTGTGTGTGCGTGCGTGTGTGTGCGTGTGTATGTATATATACATTATAAATGTTGCATACAGAAACTATGCATCGAAAAGAGATTCATGACTAGCGAGTATCGTAGATTTTACAAGTATTAAAGAGGACGGATCATGGCTGGCGGTTGAATGTGACAGTATTCGGTTATACACACACACACACATATATATATATATATATATATATATATATATATAGATAGATAGATAGATAGATAGATAGATAGATAGATAGATATACACACATAGATAAATAGATGACATAACGATATATATCTATTATCTATCAAGTACAGTATTGAAGACATTGTATGAGAAAGTGGAAAAAGTTTACTTGTGACGCGTTTCCTTCTTCAGGACGGCAAATTTAGTCCGATAAAGTCTTGAAGGACGAAACGCATCACATTTTCCACTTTCTCATAAAATTTACACACACACACAGACACACAAACACACATATATATATAGTTGAATTTAGGCAGCAATCCTTCTTTCATGCACGTTTCATTGAATATGAGAAACAAGGTGCTTTGATTTGCTTTATACAATTTCTCATGTGATTGTATATTTTTTTTTCTTTTGAGTAGATAAATTATATAAAATTTGTCCAATTCTTATTTCGGTTCGTGTTTTGAAAAATGAAAACACTATATAAAGACATAAATACAATGAGATATTTCTTGTTAACAGTTAATATATTTCAACCTTGAAAATGGCTAAATATATAGCCCAAAGCGCACGAAAAATAAAAAAATTGGATAGTTTTTATATAATTTATCTACCGAAAAAAAAAAAATATATATATATGAATAAAGACAAAAAGAAAAATTATTTTAGCCGACGCGTTTCGTCCTCTGAGGAACTCTATCAAGGTATATTCAAGGATTTTATTTTATATCAAGTAATTTTATAAACATGCAAATTTATTACTGTTGTTTTTTTGCGAACTCAAGAAAACACTAGAACACTCAAAAATTAACAAAAATGCTTACGTCTAGAAAACCAAAAGTCAAATGACAACAATTGAAAGACAAGTGGGAAAAGCGAAAAAGAGAGAAAACGTTAAGAAATACGTATAAAGTGAAAGAATGAACAACGAATAATGACGACATTCTACGCGCAGATTATCGCATTGCTTTTCGCGCGCGAACACACAGAGGCACCACGAATGAAAAATGCATATAAAAAAAATCAAGAACTATAAGCAGTCATTTGCTAATGGTCTCTTAGGAATAGACGGAGTAATTCTCAGAGGGTCTATCTACGAAACTCTGGAGTCGGGCTGCTGAAGGTAGCATCAATCAGCAAAGTGACAAAACTTTTACTTTTATATATATATATATATATATATATATAATTATTTATTTAAAAATATGATTCCAAATCGCTACATAAGAAGTCTCATGTTTCAAAACAAGAGCCGAAAACTTCAATATAATCCTTTAAATTAAATTGAGTTGAAAGTAAAATGGGCTCCGTTCCAACTTCAAGCGAAATTTTTGTTGGAATAACGTATATCTGAAATTTACTTGTTTTAAAATTGAAATCAAAATCCCCATGGTAACAGCTATGGTGAATTGTCTAAATTGGGTAGGCGAGTGTAGGGTGTTTATAATAAGTAGCGGTATAGAGATACTTTCAAGGTGTCAAGCCGGAGAAAGGTTGGGGTGTCAAAAATGAAACGGAAGATGTATTGGCCATCGTCTAGTTTGCTTGTCTATGGAGATTTATTTATTTTATTTTATTTTATTATGAAAGGGAATTGCGCATATAAAAAAAAAAAAAACTTTCGTAACGTTTGTTTTTTGACGACTTCATAAAGGGTTATCTTATATGTAAGGTATTTAAACTACTAATTTAGGCTATGGATTATGAAGTGTGTTATGTTGTGTGCATGTTTTTAGTTAATTATTCCTACTATGAATCTGATGATTGGGCTATTTGTTAAACAAGTTATATAAATTTTTTTATCTAATAATTCAAATCAAAAATCTGATGATGCCTACAAAAACCGTTAACTCGTGTCTATTATTTAATAGATTATTATTATTTAGAAGTTTAATAATATTGCACATTATTAAACTTCTAAATAATAATAATTTTTAAAAAATAATAACTAAAATACTAAGGGACTTTGGATTATTTACCTAACCAGTTCCTTCCTATTTTCTATATATTTTCACATATATTTTCACCCCCCCACACACATATATATATATATATATATATATATATATATTATCGTATAGCATTAAGCACCTGAATTGCTGGTTCTTTTTCAGGGTAGAAAAGCAATTTGGGCAGGCAGGTTCTTGTCTTAATGTGCACGATATCAAAAGTAATGATGAAGTTTTAATATAATTAATTTGGATGTTTATCATTTAGCTGAGTTGTGTTGGTTCAATCACGCTTACTACGTAGTACGACTTCTCTGAGAAGACAAGCCCCGCAGAATGAACATGTTATAGTGATATGCACATGAAACTGCGTAGTAGGCATTATTGAACCAACACCACCCAGTAAGTGATAAACTTCTCCAAATTATATATATATATGACTCTTTAAACCGGAAATTAAAAACAAAAAAACCTCTGGCACAGAATTGGCAGGCATGAGACACAAAATATTTGTTTTGATCATATTTATTTTTGTGAAACCTTTCGTCACTTTTCGGTTGTCTTGGACACTTTGCCATCACTCATTCTCTCCATATTCCATTTGGGAGATGTAAGTTCCCCTCGGGCAGCTTCTTCCGGTGGACCGCTGCTTTGTGGAACCGACTCCTAAGAGGATGCGTCACCGATCACTACAATCTTAACCTGGTTCATGCCTAAGTTTAATCGTTTTTTTCCCCGACATACTCGAATAAACTGTACCTCTTACCCTGTATACATCGAGCGGTTCTCACACTTTGTACAAGGGGAACATCACTGTGAAAAACTGTTAGAGTTTCATACCATTTGATAGTTGGCAAGTTCTCAGATACAATAACTTCATATATGGCTCACTTGCCCCAGCTTTAATTAAAATGAATCACATGTATAACAGGTGAGGTCATTCCACTCATAAACTGAAAGTTACACCATACATCTCTTCAGGAACTTTTTCAGTTTTTCGTTTGCTCTCCGAAACTCGAAATCAACATTTCCTCCATATATCTCTTCGGATAATTCTTTTCTGTTTTTCGTTTGCTATCCGACGACACTGGAAATCAACATTTCCTCCATATATCTCTTCGGATAATTCTTTTCTGTTTTTCGTTTGCTATCCGACGACAATCGAAAGAGACATTTCCACCATGAAAATGTAACCTCCCAGCCTTGAATTGTAGCGCTAAATTCTCTATCTAGAATTTTCCTTCATTTCACCTGAAGACCTTCAAAATCTTCCAAAGATTAAAAAAAACCGAAAAAAAAAAAAAACCAGAAGAAATGAAAGAACAACATTTATATTCACAATATATGAAGTCTCCGGCATTGGTCTTTAATTAAACATAATTGACTTCTGTCTCTTTGGCAAAGAATAACCATTGGACACATTCCGGGCCAATTTGGCAACTATGTAACCGGAATTCCAGTCTGAGAATGAGACTCACAAGAGATGACCGCTGCTTGAAGAGAATGTTCCAAGCAATGTCAGCCGGGAATCCCAGTCGTCTTGTGGCGTGAAATTGATCGAAAATATTTTGACAACACCCCAAACGCAACAAAGAAACGAGGTTGACAGGCGGGTGCTGAAAGAACTGAGGAAAGAAAAATCAGAGAGGAAGGAAAGAAAGGGCTAACAAGAAGCAATGAGATAGCGGGGGAGAGAGCGTGAGAGTGGGGAAAATGAAGGATAATAAGAGATTCGAAAGAACGGAATAAAAAAAAAGGAGAAAAAAGAGAAATATGTGAAAGAGAAGAAGAAAAGGAAGAGAAGAATAAAAGTAAGTCTTTGTTTCTCGAGTTTGAATTTTCCTTATTAATGTTTTGAATATTCGGAAGATCTTCTAGAAAATATGATGGTATTTTATAAATAATAATAATAATTATGAAATGGACAAAGTCCGACAATTATATTTTTATGTTTAACATTCTTTTTATAGATACAAGTATTTAAGTAAATTCTATCGGGGTAAACTTCAACAATCTTCTGAAAGGATACGATACATAAAAGATGTTTCCACAGTTTTCGGGTTAATGAGGTGTCATTTTATGAGGAAACATATAGTTTCAATTGGTACTAGAGGGGGAGCGTCAGTCTACAAGCAGAAAATTGAGTCCCTTTTGAACGTCTATCACTTCTAAATTCTGAATCGATTTCTCTTCTCGCTTTTGGCTCAAGTAAATACACTTTGTTTTCAGAAATAGCCAACAAAGTCATAAGTAGCTAAAACTAAAATTTAGTAGCGGACAGCTTTCAAACAGTGAGGTTCATATTTACCTAAGGATGGATAGACCTTCTTGCAAAGTCAGCAAGTATGCATTTTTTTAAAGCATATTACACTAATCAAGTCGGGAGTGTCACTAGCACACAAGGGATGAGCGCAAGAGTAAAGAGCGGTGTTTGAGGTAAGAATATAGGGAAGGACGGGGATCAGGATCAAGACAACAGAAGATGTCGATTGACCTAACATTTGAATATTTGAATAGCTATCAGGGAAGAGATTTCCACTGACGGGAAGTGCGAGATAAGAAGCTGCTGATGTAGAAGAGACGGCTACATTTATCCGTTTCGACAGTCAGAGGGTGGGATCGAGATGCCAACCTAGTAGCACGCTTAAATTCACGCTGTTTGGGAACCAATGAAAGTAACTCGTCAGAACAGGTGTCATGAAAATACTTGTAGAAAAGACAGAAGGAAGCCACAGCACGTCTGTGAAAGCACAGTAAGGTAGCCATAGGTAGGAATATAGCAAATGTAATTGGAGTCGATAGGTTCGCCTCTCGCCCGGTTTGCACTCCTTCACCGTCTTTTGGACGGTATTAAAGATTTATACCTTGTTTCCTGTTTAAGATTGTGTTTCTGGATCTTTCTCCTAAAGTTCTCTCAGTAACCTGCTGCGTCTTAGTGGCATTATCACCTTTCTTGGTATGAACAGATTAAACAGTGCGATGATGACACATCATTGTTGGGTTTTCTAGACTGAAAACGGTCAGGGTGGTGGTTTCTGCTGATGGATTAAATCACCACGTGTCCATAACTAAGGCGAACATTCAGGTCGGAGAAAATCAAGTCTGGGTTGACTTGGAGAGGGAGGAGTTCCGCCAGATATTCTTGCCCAAGGTTATATAGTTAAACGTTTCTTTTCGTTATATACGAGGTACACTCAGTACATGGCTTTTACAGACACTACAATTAATAATAATAAAGTTATTTTTCGCTTACGAAACAACATTTTTATACAAAGTAACCATCATTAACTATTTTGCAGGATGACAGATATGCAGGGTCAAGTCGAATATGACTTTTCATACCCATCGCTGTCGCCAGTGCTAAAACATGTTACCCATCGCGTAACTGTGCTCACATGCATTGTTTTCTATACGAAACCGATTATCCAGCGTCAATCAATGTCAAAGAGTGCACTTCATCCCTGCGTAGAGAAATTTAATTATACAGGCCTCTGTTTCGCACACAGTTTTATGTCAAACTGCCGATTAACTGTTATATATAAAAAGATGGAAGATATTAAGGGGACAGTGTAACTTTACTAACCTCCGACGTCAGAGACGAAGGGTAAGTCATTAGAATGATAGTCATGATTTTAGCAGTGACTTGCTTATTACAGTTGCCCGATTTCATAGTTTTCGTTTCTGGAACGATGTCGTTAAAAAACATTTCAATCATAATATGTTTATGGGAAGAAAGGAAATTTAAGAAATCTCAGTTATTGCATTGCTCATTTGTTGTTCAAATACGTGACACTTTAAACACCCTTCTATGAGTTAGATATGTTTGTGAAGAGAAATATCATGTCTATTATATATATATATATATATATATATATTACAATGAATCATTTATACAAAAAGTAAGTTAGTAAAGTTAATGATATAAAATAGCGAAATACCTTCGCTAACAAAATTTTAAAGGTGCATTAACCCACAATTCACTCGATGAATGTTATGTTTCTTTTTCTTTTTTTAATTATAAGCTGTATAAGGTCTTTCTTTAATATACAAGTACTTTCGACTGTACATTCAGCCATCTTCAGGCATGGAAATTATTTTGTTTTTGGTAAAATTCAGGTAGCATCCGGAACGAAAAAAAAATACGAATCGAAATATGTTTTTTTTTAAATTTTTTTTTTTTTAAATGTGTTATTGATAACGGATACAAACCTTTGAAAATTTAAGAGAATGCGTTTTTACTAATATGGCAATTTGAGATTTTTCTTTTTGTAGGAGTTTATCAGTTAATGCGACTTGAGCTAAATTGTTCAATAGGGTAATGTCTCTATATAATATATGATCGTAATATAATGGAAACCAAAGATGAAGAAATTCACATCTAATCTGGTCTGGTGTTCCTGCTATTCATCTCGAGGTTCTTGAAATAATCCAAAGAAGGATTTCTAATGTAATCGATCCTGACTTGGCATCTCGACTTCAGTCGCTTTCTCACCGACGTGAGGTGGCTTCCCTCTGTCTTTTCTACAAATATTTTTATGGCAACTGCTCTGACGAGCTTTTTTTCCCAGATGCCCCGACTGCATGAATTTAAGTGTGCCACTTGATTGACATCTAGGTCCCACCCGTTTATTGTTGAAATAGCTAAATGCAACCGCCGCTTCTACTCCAACAGTTTCTTTCCTCTTCCTTCCGTTTACTTGCTTCCCTGATAAATGCTGTCTTCAGAAATTGAAATCCACCGTCAATCGCCATCTTCTTGGATACCGTTCATTTTTTATCCTGTTTTCAATCTTCCCTATAACCTGTCTTTTCTCTCACCATCACTACCTGTAATCCCCTGCGTACTAGTGGCATTCCCGCCTGAGGTGAAAGGATTAAAGAATATATATGAACTTAAAGATAGATTCATCAAAATGTCCGTTCCCTAATTATGAAAAGAGCGTTTATTTTATACAAATCTTTTTTTTTTTCTGCCGAGTCAACTTTCTGGCCTATAAAATTAACTCAGTAATTTATGCAGGGCGAAGGTTATACAATGAAATTCTCACGTCAAACTACAAATCAAAATACAGCGTTATTGATACAATCCCGTGTCATGAGTAAAAATGAAGCGTCGTTGATGTAACTGTTCACTGTTTTTCGGTCAGAATCAACGTGTAGTAGCTGTTCGTTTCGATTCAACGTAGTATAGCGTGATAAACAAAGAAAATAATACTGAACTCTTACGTGATATCTGTCTTCCTATATGCCAGTGAATACTGGACAATCTCCTTAAAGATGAAGAAGAGACTTGAAGCAACAGAAATGTGGTTCTACAGAAGGATGTTGAGGATACCATGGACCGATTATGTGAGCAATGACGAAGTTTTGAGGGAAATGGAAACAAAACGGAAAATTATAATCAACATCAGGAAGAGAAAACTGAGGTACCCAGGGCTCATAATGAGGAAAGATAGCTTGGAAAATCTGGTACTCACAGAACAAACTTAAGGCAAGAAAGACAAAGGAAAACAACGCATAGCATAGTGAATTTGATAAATAGATGCCAAAAAAAAGGTTTAGGGGAGATAATAGACAGACACAATTTATTAAGAGCTAGAAGGAACAGGAAGTTGTGGAGAACCATGATCGTACATGTCTTAAGGGGTCATGGCACATAAAGAAGAAGATTGTAAAAAATCTACAAATATTTTTAATGATCGACTTTTCCAAATTACGAATAATCCTTCTCAGACAAGGAAGAAATTCTGTAAGAAATTGTCAAATTACAAGGTAACTAAAAAAGTTCTGTCCGTTTTTTGATTAGTCATTGAATGAAGTTGAAATATATACGAAATGCGTGTAGCAATTGTTTTCAAATTCGGACAGCCGGAAGTAGGAACATCAGACGTTATAAAAAAAACACGCGGACCGTGCCCGCCCATTAGTTATAAGCCGGACAGCTTTGAGAAGGATAGAAGTGTCTAGAGATCTCGTTTGGGGTTGTTTGCTTTAAGACTTCAATGTGGGTTTATCAGAAGCTGCATCAAGTCGCGGCATATGTCAAGCGTTTGGGGATAGTGCTGTGGATGAACGTACTGCAAGGCGTTGGTTTCGAAAATTCAAGTCGGGAGATTTGTCTCTCCATGATGAGCCTCACAGTGGATGACCACAGGTCTTGAATGACGGAGTCCTGAAGGCGGCCATTGAAGAGGACAGTAGTCTAACGTGTGGTGAACTTGCAAGGCAGTTCAACGTTTCCGATGAAACAGACTTCATCTGCATCGCCTAGTTAAGACGTACAAACTGAGCAAGTGTGTTCCGCAAACGCTGTTGGAGGTCCACAAGGGACAATGAGTGGCAGCCTGCGTATCGCTGCTTTCCAGACATTGGTTGTCTCCTCAGGATGCTGTCCTTCACACCGCAAGACTGCCTATGCACCCCCGCAAGATTATGCTTTGTGTCTGGTGGACAGGTCGTCAAGTGGTTCATTAAGAACTGCTACCAACGGGCCAAACGGTCAAGGGAGACCTATACTCGCAGCAATTGAAACGTGTGCAACAGGCATTGCGCCAGAAGGAGACAGCAATGGTGAATCGAAAAGGTGTGCTTTTCCTTCATGACAACGCCAGGCCGCATGTCGCGCAAGTGTTCAGGGATACCATACAGCAACTTGGGTGGGAGACTGTGCCATCCACCTTATTCACCTGACCTTGCGCCATCCGATTACCACCTCTTCGACTCTCTGGATAATCATCATCATGGGAAATCCTTCACCAATGAAGCAGACTTGCGCAAAGCCCTTACGGACTTCTTTGCGTCAAACACCTCCGAGTTCTACCGCAAGGGCATTGAACAGCTGGAGACACGTTGGCAGAAGGTGCTGGATGCCGAT